CTAAAACTCTTTTTTCACTCATAAATACACATAGAGAATTTGTCGATTCAGATTATCCTAACTTAGTTATCGTTTTGTTTCTAAGCCACCGTCTTGAAAATATTGTGGGCCAGACAAATGTTAAGACTGATGATAATGAAAAAATATGCGCAAGAACGCACTATCATTTATTCGTAGAAAGATATGATTCTATAGATGATGATTATCGTGAATTGATGATATGCTTGAGAAAACATCAACTCGTACTAGAGTTCGTAATTTTATCATCCATGATAATAGTCATTATCGATTAACGATATTAATGATCTTAACAAAATCGCTTGATCGATAAAACTATTTTATTCTATTTTTGATATTAAATTATTCTATCCTGATTTCTTAGATATGTTCAGATACTGGATTCTACATTCACGTACGTAACGTTTGTTCTACTATTTCTTAATGTGCTGATTATGAGCGTAATTGGAATACAAGTAAGAATTTAAAAAATAAATATGCTTTCATTGAAAAACGTATTTCATAGCATTATACAAGATGTTCAAATCCACTCAATTTTCCTTCAACGAAGAATTTCTTGACCAATTGGAAATAGATTTTTCAGAAAATGTCGAGACATAAATAATTTTCTATTTATAGATTATTGAAAAAAAAGCTTTCTGCAAACTAAATTTTAAGAGAAATCAAATGGACAACAAAATTGATATTTCTCAATTATCATTTAAAATAGAATTTACTTTAACAGAATTCAAAGTTTAATTACAAAGATACATGTATAATACAAAAAATTAGAAAATTACAATAAATGATGACTTTCCCCTATTTTAATCAAGGAAGAATTAATTCTAATTTGACCAATCAATCTGCAATTAGAAAGACATCCGGTAATTTTAGAATAACTAATAATCTTCATGGTGTAATTGTTGCAGCTTATCAACAAATTAGGACATACGGAAGAAGTAATAAAATACATTTGTGTAACTATGGGTGTGTTTACTCATCTCATATGCATGTGTTTTCCCGGACAGTTGCTAATAGATAGAAGCATGGATATCTTTGATAAGGCGTAAGAATCATAATTCTATTAGCTCTTTAACTATGCTTAACTTAACTATATAGCATGTAAAAGAGCTTTATCAACAAATGAGCTGGAATTACATCGCAATTATTACGTATTGTCCAGATTCATTATTTCCATATCACAATCTACGAAATAATAATGTTATAAAATTTCAAGAAGCCTTATTATAAATAATTATTCCTGAAAAAATTTATTTGATTTTACTGTAAAAATTTCAATCTCCAATACATGCGTACAGTCTTCGCAAAGCATAGTTTTACTTGATAAGCATTATTACCACCATTTTCCAATGTTTTTTATTATTTTTGATGTTATCTCACCCAAAGTTGTCGTCTTATAAACGATTCGCATAGTTGCCAGAAAGGCATATTGAAGGCCTTTTAAAGATATTTTATCTTTTAGATACAGTTCAGGATGGTATACGTTCTCCATAAAAAGCAAAAAATTATTAAAAATACTTCTGTACAGAAGTTTCGTTCCTTGTACACTCTCGGCTGGAAAGATGTTTGTTATGTCAATGACTATGTGCAGGTCGGTACGTTTGTAGCTTAAATATCTTTTACAATGTCTATTATATAACGCTGCAAAGAATCAATATTTAATTTTAAGGTGATGCAAACTGCCATGTCGTATTTTACTACCTTAGCATCCTTAGCATGAAATAGAAGTGCTATAATACATATGATGTTTTTATCTTTACAAAATCATTATAGTTAAAAGAATCATTAGTGAAAATCCATTGTACCATTTATGAAAGAATATTTGTAACATCCTCATAATAAAACGACATATAAGAACGCAGTATATTTCACTTTATTCTACAGAAAATTTATAATTTCGTGATCTATAATTTCCTTTCATACGACTGAAGGAGATCTGTACAATAATTTTGAGTTGTTGGGAAACGAAAATGTTAGAAATGTTTTTTGCCGCAAAAGATAAATATTTAATAGCGAACAGCGACCCTTCTTATAGATTGATTGAATATCCACCTATCGCGGTGCGTAAACGTTTCAAACGTTTTCTGACAACCCGAAATTATTATAATGATATATATATGTCCTTCTCGTCACTGCATTCGCTTTACATTTTTTTCTTCAATCCAATATCTAACAAGAGGACGATCAGCGTATTTTCTCTTTGCAGTGTACATTAATATATTCGTAGTAATGCTTATGTTAATACCGTTAACGCCAAAAGTTCTAGATATCATAATACCGTTGAATGAGTCACGGCCAGCTACCCAGCAAACACAGAATATAACTGCTATATAACATGGGAATAACATGTAATGTAACAGTTGTTATGCCTAATTTATATTGGGATTATATAACTGTCTCTTATTTATGTAATATAACATCAGAATATAACTGCTATGTAACATGGGAATAACATGTAATGTAACATTTGTTATACCTAATTTATATTGGGAGTAAGGAAGTAAAGGCCACGATACATGAAAAATTTGTAATCGTGACCGTAAGCAGATCGACCAATTACAAACATTTTCACGTGTCACGTTTCAAAAATGTTTGGTTGTGATTAGTGCATTTGATTACAGCTTTACAATTACGACTAAAACTTTTTCGCATGTCATGGTCTTAACTTTAGCTCTCTATGATGTAGTGAGATAAAATGAATAAATAAGTAGACATAACAATGCTAAAACCTTAGTTTATTGTAGTTTGTTTATCTCAGACAGTCATTGTTTGATAATGATCGTGACACGTAAAAAAATTTTAATCGTGATCGTAAAGCCATAAGGCCACGATACGTAAGATCGAGTCTACAATAGGTATAGTAAACCTTTAGCCTTTAGAATTATATCGGCCAAAACTCTTAAAAATGTTTGTGTCATGGCGCTTATCTATATCTTATTCTTAATTCGAAGAACCTATCTCGCAATAAAATTACTGAATAATAAATAACATTTTAATGAACTATTTCTATAAATATTTCTATACTAATAAACTATATTCAAGATTAATAGTAATTCATATCGTGATTGCGCAACACATCAGTTTTGCATCTTACAAGTTTATCTTACAAAAATCTTATGTTCTTAATGCTTGCTACATTTAAGTGACGATATAATTATTGAAATTATTTTGAAATACGCAGCAATAATTATATAATGACGTAAATTAATATTTTCTTAAAAATACTATTTCAAAATAGCATGATTCGCTGTATTATATGAATCTGTCAAAAACTCAGCTGATCAACTCCGTTTTTTGTAAAAGTTTCTTAATTTTAATCGGAGGAAATACGCCTGATATTCATTAGCGGATATAGCGGATATATTCATCCGCGAGAAATTAAAATCTCTCCATAATTCGCCGATGAATATTGCCGTTAATACAATTCTCGTGTGTCTTTTAATATACTCTCAAAAAATCTTCAAAGTTATTAGAAAACGTATTTTTGCAAAAAAATAAACTAGAGCAAGAAGTAAACGGAAGCAACTTGCGGATTTAAATGCCACGATTAAATGCACAATATTAGGGCTGCGTTCGGAAACATTTTGTACATAACTTTGTTATGTATGTTGAACAAAGATAGAACGACGCTCATATGCATACGGGTGATGTTTGCGAACGCAGCCTAAAAAAGGAGATTATCCGAATATCTCTTTTTCCGACTCATGTTTTCCTAATATCGAGATTTGCCGCAGAATTCGAATACCGCGGCTAAGTCTACAGACTGCGTTCATGTTGACATTATAAATGGCTCGTGCTTAAGGAATAAAAAAAAATCTCACACAATAATTAACTAATAAGACTCGTCAAAATTATGATCTTTATGATAACAATTATTCACAGCACGAAGTAAGCATAATGTAGGGCGAGAGAACAAAAATAAAAAAAACAACAATAAAATTTGACCATCAAGTTCAGAATTTAATAAAACTCTATAAAAAGTAAAAAAAGTAAAAACATCAATTTGATAGCGAAATAATAAAATTCGATTGAAATTTACATACTTTTTTAAAAGCAAATATTCGAGATATAAAAAGTACTACACAAAACGCCTACAAATTATTTAAACTATTTGAATATATATCTAATCTCCCTTTTACTGTATAATATTTAATAAAAAAATGTATTTTAATATTTCTCGCAATAATAATTTATAAACACAAATTTTTAAGTAGTTTCGTTTATACAAGTTTTGTAATTTTCGATACTTACTTTGCACAGCCCACAGAGTACCATTTTGCAATTCCTTTAAAAATCGTTGTGTGTCTTCTTTACATTTTCCATCTGGCAAATCCTCTGACTGAGCAAAGATTATAGGTAACAACGGTAGATTGGTAGGATTTAATGATACCGTGTTTGCAAAACACTGTTTATTATTACAATTACCGTCATCTAAAATATTGTTTACATTCACCGAATCCAAAGAATTATTTTCATTAAATGTCCATTGTTTTGATGTGGAGTGACTCTGTTCGGCAAAGCTACTTGATAATCTCAACAATAGTGTGCTAACGGTAATTAGCACAATTCGTTTGAACATTATGTTGGGTTTTTAACTTTATTATTATAATTCACAGTTTGTAGGAAGGATTCTTGAGAACGTGGTTTAAAAATACTATAAGTCGAACACGTCTTTATCGATACGTGGTCTGATCTCGAGAGAGCGAGGATCGCGCGGTGTTCCGTTTGCCGGTTTTCGCATATCCCTCTCCTTACGCACGCGCAGAGCCTTGATTGCCACGTCTTGGCGCTTGCTCCATACATTTACATATACAGGGTGGTCCTCGTAACGGTCGCCACGATTTTTAAGGCACTTACAATAATCTGACATAAAAAAGTCATAAACAGAAATTTATCAGTTTCTAACCGTCAAATATAATCTAAATGTCAAATATATATTCTGTAACAGTAATATACAATAATAATAAAAATTAACAGTCTGTATATAAACGCGACTATTTTACGCAATTTTATATGTCTAGTTGACTGATAAAAAGGTCGTGAAGTATGACATGGCCGTTTGCATGACCTTAAAAGGGAGTATTAATATGTTATATAACATTGTAAAGACTATCATACAAGACGTTTTTCACACTTAATTTCAAATAAAGCGGACGTACCGAACTGAACATAGTCATCGACGTAATAAACATATTTGCAGCCGACAGCGTGCAAGGCACAAGACTTCTATAAAGGAGTATGCTCAATAATTTTGTCGTTTTCAGCGAGACCATGTACCATTGTGCACTGTACCTACATGATAAAAATATTTTGTGTGGTAGAATTTTTAGCGACTGCGAAAACGAAATTATACATGCAATTAACTGATCAAATCGAACGATAGTGTTGTTTCAAAATAATTCTACAATAATTAGTAATTATAATAATTATAATAATTAATGTAAGTTAAACATGATTAAAGCATGATACTTGCGCTTTATCGAATATTTCTATACTTCTATCCAGGAGTAGTTGTCCGGGTAAACATATGCTTAAGAGATGAGTAACCGATCCCACAGCTATGCATCCAAATCGTATCACTTCCTGAGTTTGTCCGAATTTGTTGATAAGCTACAACGTATATGGGTTTCGAAATTTCTATAAATATTCCTGACTTTTTTTTTACGATTTTTATTTTAATGAAAAAAACGTGTATTGTGACAAAAAAGGATATAAACTTATACCTTAATTATACATGTATATTGCTTTATAACTCTTTATATATGTATATTATATATGTGCAAGAGCTACGCATAAAACATTAAAAAATTCGAAACTTGTTTGGTTCTTATGAATATTTTTAATAATTGATTCATGTCGTAATTTACTTGTAATCCAACCAGACTCAGAATCATTACGTTCAAAGACAAGATGAGGAACATCGCACTTCTGAATGTAGAGTCTAGCATGTGAGTGTATCTAAAAGATAGCAAAAAAAATGTAATATAAAAGTTATGTAAAATATGTAATAATTATAACTGAATAATATTGATGAAATTTTTATTTATGATGAAATTTTCCATAATACAAACTGTATTGCGAGTTGATGTTTTTTCAAGCATGCAATCATCTCACGATAATCTTCGGAATCATGCTCTTTTATTACTACGTGTTTTATTTTCTCGCCTTCCACAAGTTTCGTCTTATCGAGATAGGCGTTGACTCTCGGAAATCGGCCGAAATGTGCAGATCGTGGCATGCACTGATGTAGTGGGAAAAAGTGAATAAATAAGTAGACATAACAATGGTAGAAGCTTTAGTTTATTGCAGTTTGTTCATCGTAGATAGTCATTGTTTGGTAATGTTCAAACGAATTGTGCTAATTACCGTTAGCACACTATTGTTGAGATTATCAAGTAGCTTTGCCGAACAGAGTCACTCCACATCAGAACAATGGACATTTAATGAAAATAATTCTTTGGATTCGGTGAATGTAAACAATATTTTAGATGACGGTAATTGTAATAATGAACAGTATTTTGCAAATACGGTATCATTAAATCCTATCAATCTACCGTTGTTACCTATAATCTTTGCTCAGTCAGAGGATTTGCCAGATGGAAAATGTAAAGAAGACGCACAACGGTTTTTAAAGGAATTGCAAAATGGTACTCTGTGGGCTGTGCAAAGTAAGTATCGAAAATTACAAAACTTGTATAAACGAAACTACTTAAAAATTTGTGTTTATAAATTATTATTGCGAGAAATATTAAAATACATTTTTTTATTAAATATTATACAGTAAGAGAGTTTAACGGCGGTTCTTTGGACTCGCGTCTGTTGGCTTACGTCGTCTGTACGCGCCACAAAAGGGTTTCAAGGAAAAGTTCGAATGCGAACTTTGAGCCATCACGTTCTGATTAAGAAAGATCGACGTAAGATCGATCAAATATTCCTAAACTAGCGATAATCTTATCAATCGTAAGTATCATTGAAATTTATCGACTCATCATAAATATGCCATAGTGTTATGTATAATATTTCGATATAAATTATCTGATAAAATTATAGTAACATGGATTAATATAATTATCGTAGGCGATCTTGGATCTATACTAAAGGAAAAGTTTTATATAATCATTAAGTTATATAACCGTTGATCATTAAGATCGCCGATCGAACTGACAACGCGCGATAAGGTCCACTTAACGTAAAACGACATTACGATACCACAATGCGAGAATTTTCTGCGTAGCGCAAATATTTGTCTAGAAGTTTATTCAAACGTTTCTTCTCCTCCGTCCATCAAGGTTGACTAACATTATTATCGTAGACCGTATCAAAATTCCGCGATATCGAATAAGTCACATGGACTTCATAATTGAACAAAGGTTAATGACTAATCTCGATAAGATAAACGATTTACCGCCCCATCTCCTTTCCTTTCCCCTCTTGCAAAAATATAACGAGCGACTTCTTAACGATTAGCGACGTAACGCATTATCCGGGCTCTTAATTGAATATCTCGGTCGATTGTTTCTACCTCGAAAACGCATTAACGTACACACTTTTACGATCCATTTTATAAAGGCATTTATAGAGTGTTCTTTAAGTTCCTAAAATTGAATAGTGTGCGCGCGGATAACTTTGCAACTAGACAACTGTCTAGGGTCTAGGATATTAATTGCAGAATCATTATGAATAATAAATGTTTGCGGCTTGTATATTTTGTATACTTTTACATGTATTAAATCCGATCCACACTTACTATTTGTAAGAGCTGATTATTCATTGATTGACACATTCGTTGAATGCG